TCAACACCGTTGTTTACAAAACGGTTATATATATATATATGTATATCACAATAACCTCGTTTGCAACACCGGGTGATTTTTTGGATAGACACCTCTTTCAGAACCAGTCCATTGAAGAATCAATCCCATGATACGATGTTTTGTAGGTGGGTTAGATGCTACTAACCACCACAAACGTTACTTGAACGTCTTTATAAAATATTTCTTGATAAGTAGTATACGAGTGAATAAACAAACTTTCCATGGAAGCACGCGACCAGTTTCGCGGTTCTTACCTCTCGTCAGGTATGCGTACCCGGTAATCTTTTGCCAGTTCATTCATGTAATTGTATCCTTCGAATCATGAAATCTATTCATAAATGCATTGGTTCTGAAAGAGCTGTCTATCCAAAAATCACTCGGTGTTACAAACAAGGTAATCATGACGACAACACACTTCCTGGGTACAAGTATATGGAAGAACTGACAAAAGATTACCGAATACACATGCCTGACGAGCGGAAAGAACCGTGAAACCGGTCGCGTGCTTCCAGGGAAATTTTGTCTAGTCAATCATATATTACTTATGATGAAATATAGAAATATTTAACACCAAACATCATAGATACGGCGTCAGTGTCTTAAACCGCTTGAACAGCATTAGTCCGGCTACATTTCATGACTGAATTTTATATACTCCATAAAGGATACATTTTGAAAACAATTTTTTACTTTTAAATGGGATGGAAATTTTTGTTATAACCAACAAAGAGCACTGGATAGCTGTTTCGTCCCGTTTGGGACTCGTCAGCAGTGCGTGCTTTTTGTATCCATTTCAGGACTCAAACCGTGATTCTTCGGGCTGGGACTTCGAACCCTTACCCTTGAGATACACTGTCGACGGTTATCACCTTGTGTGAATGGCTCAATCAATTTAGATAGTGAATGTTTGGATTATCCCACTCGGTTTTTCACAGGCACCAGGCACTGTTGATGATGTTTCACTCCTTGGGAGCAACATAATCAACAGTACCTGCTAAAAACCGAGTGGGCTAATCCAAACATTCACCATCTGAATCTTTATTACTCTTTGTCTCCAGCATCAAACAGCTGGGAAAATCGGGAAAAACACCTCGGCAGTTTCACTCCGAAGAATCATACTGCATGGGCATCACACGTTCGGTAATGTGATGTGAATGAACTTTTTTGACTACTTGACCCAATCTAAAGTTAACAATCGCTTGGGGAGGAACTCCGGTGATTACTATGGGAATGAGATGGGAAAATGTCACTTTTAACTTGATGTGCTTCTCATGCCGTGATCGAGTAATGCCGACATATTGGACCGGTATGAATGCAAACTATACATAGTAATGTAATAAATAGAAATTGCAGGATTACAGTCCTTTTTCTCATCAGAACAGTTTTCCGATTTATTCAACTAAGAATCATTATTTCTGTACCTAACAGGAGGACGTGCTGAAGATCGTTAAGGAGATTGCAAACAAAACCCCGTTTCGTCTATTGGAATGTAATAAGACGGGGGATTCCGAATCACAGTGTACGACAAACGCAGGTCAGTCCAACACACTGACCATTGACGATTTGCCGATTCCCGAGAACAAAAAGGCCTCTTTCCGTGTCCTCGGTTGGCAGTGGGATGCAGATAGCCAGTCTGAAATGAACAGCAACATCAACGGTGATATGCAGGAAAGGATTTCTTTGAACTCCTCTCCAATACCCATAACCAATGTAAGTCGGAGATGCTGGTGTCTCAAAGTCTATCACTATGCATTCATGTAGTTTTATTCCCAGAAACAAAATGATTGCGTGTTCAGTAATGATATCTACATACCCCTGCTATTTGTGCTCCGACCCGTTGGGTTCTAATTCCGAATCCGAATCCCGAATTTCACTGCTTCGGCTGCGGTCCAGACTCAGTAGTCAGACCGCTTAGTTTGTTGGTCCCCAACCGGGTACTGGGATGGATAAACACTTTGTCCCATTCACACGGTACTCTGATTTAAAAAAATGTTTTTCTGAGTGATTCTGGGACCGCTTCTATGCATTCACATGAGCAGATGCTTCATTCAAGTAGCCCGTGAAAATATTCCAGGGTTTTAGGTTATACAAGGTAACTAATGATCAGCCCAAACTGTTCGTATATTGTTTGCGTGGGACGATTCAACTAATTTTGTGTATTTTCAGATTCTTGGTGCTCATAAGTAGGGATGAATGTGTGATTGTTAGCGGTATCGTGTGCCAATCAGTAATATTATTTAGCGTATGCTACCTCCACTAATTTGCACCTGATGTGCTTCAGGTGTTTTTTCCGGGATATTCCTTATACTAATTGGCTGAGATCAAAACTCATAAGTTTGATCATTACTCAAGTATTATTTGTTTGGCACAATGGAAAACATGAAAGGATGTAGTAATTTTTGTTCAATGATTAATTGAGTATGAAAATATAGCCTCAAACAACTCGTGTTTCGGGGGGAAATCCTTAATGAAAATAGTTGATTGAAGCGGCCAGCCCCAGAAAACACTTATGTAACTAAATTAAGCCAAATGCGCGTTTGACAGCATAGTACTGAGTTCGATTCTTATAACACTGAAAACTTGCTCTAAATTGTTGACTGAACAGGAGTTATTGATCGTGATCGAGATTAAAACCTCATGGCTTATCCAGAACGATTGTTCATTGAAATATTCATTAGGTCACTGGATAGTTTGAATACTTTCGTTACCTGTCCACAATTGATATACATTTTATCAAAACCAAAACACTGTAGAGACTGAAATCCACGGAGCGTAGTGAACAAATCTTCAGTAAACAATGTTCATCGATGGAAAAGCTTGGAGGCGAATGTTTGCCACACTTGAGATCCGCGACAGAGAGAAAGGGAAAAATAAACGTCAGACACTCGTGAAGCTTTCCAACAAGGACAAAGCAGCTACTTGGCGATCTTTTTAAACCCAGCCATTATTAATTGTGGGGATATTTTTTGACATTGTATGAAATGAATTCTTCTGTCAGGTTTTTTACTTTTTATTGCACTCGAAAATATCTACTTGTATGATTTTCAGCTTCTTCAGCTTCTCCGCCATTATGAAAAAACTCTTTCAAAACAAACCGAAGACCTTGTGTTGACCAAATATAAGTACGATGGACCGGGAAATCCACCGATACAATCCCTGAATCACGTAAGTAGAATCGATCGCGTCTTAGTTCTCTGCTGTCTATCCGACTGAAATGACAACAGTTAACCGATGAATTCATTCGTCTTGTTCCCTTACGTGGCAGTCGGCAAATGTGCACGTTTTCATATGCTTTGTAGGAATACCTATCTGCTCAAATAATTGGGACCAAGAATGTGTCTAACTATCTGAATGGTTGATTCCCGTTTTGGGTAACTGATTAAATAACTGAAGGTGAATAAAATTCACATGCAATCATTTGTTATTTACCGACAACAGTCACATACGACCACACTGAAGTCCACTGTCTACAAACTGAGATAGAGATCGATCACGCGAGTATGCTGCTGCTCCGAAACACTGTTTCTATTTATATTCTGGGAAATCACAACTAATCCACATAAATAAATCAACGAATGTTTTCTAACGGTTCTACCGATTACAACGTGCACTGACCCAATCGACGGGTAACCAAGAGTAAGTTATCGTATGCAACTACTGGTAT